TTTTTTTTTTTTTTTTATGAGACAGGGTCTTGCTATGTAGATGAGGCTGGTCTTGAATTTACTATGTAGCTTAGGCAGTGGATTATTGTAAAAATCAAGCATCATGATGTATGTAAAGCCTTAAAATAGTAACTAGAACATGGTATATGCTCAATAAAACTATCATATATTCTCACTTAAGATGATCAAAATAAGTTGTGCTAGTTCAAACTGGCTAGACTAGGAATAAATGACTTGAAGACAGTTGATATTGAGCTTTTTTCCTAGTCTCTATTGACATCACCTGCCCTACCTCCACCAACAATTCTTTTTTTTTTTTTTTTTAAGAATTGTGGTTGATTTTTTATTTGGTATTATTCATTTGCATTTAGTTTTTTGTTTGTTTTTTGAGTCAGGATCTCACTATGTAGTTCAGGCTGACCTTGAACTCAATATGTAGCTCAGACTGGCCACGAACTCTTGGTGATCCTTCTGCCTTAGCCTCCTGAGTGCTGGGATTACAGGCATGCACCACCACACCCGGCTGCTCCACCAATTCTTAACATCTTATCTCGAGCTACACCTTCTGGCTCTGAATCCTTCAAGTGAGGATCAAACAACTGAGACTAATTATCCCAGATACAAGTACTCAGTAATAGTCTGGTTTCCTATTGGGACAGATGCTCCCTAAGTCCTCGAGGTCCCTTCTATTTCTTCAGCATCTTTTTCCTCCTCCCCCTCCTAGCCTAGCACTGAGCCCATGTGCTGAGCATATAAGTGATTTTTTTTAAAAGTTAGTGTGAAGTTTCAGAAGGCAAGCAGCTACAGTGGCATCACTCCTAATAGAGTGAAACTAAAAGTCACCACTTTTAGGTTTGTTCCAGAAGGGCAGACAAGAAGCAAAGTCAAAAGTTTCACAACCCCACAAGGAAACAGAACCTTGGAGGACTTGAATTTCTAATGAAACTTATAGAATAGAATGTGTGCCTTTGGCAACAAGCTGGAACTTTCTCAAGGCTGGTGAGATGGAAGTAGGGAGTGTGGACAAAATCACTTAAAATACATTCTCTCCATTGGATCTTGCAGATTTTGACCCTAACGGCCAAAGACTATGCTCTGTTCTGAAACAATGCCCTCACTGCGCACCAATAGTGTCATGTCCTCTGTATTTTAATTCCAATAGCAACAACCTCTTTTTATTTTCCAGTGCTTGGGATCAAACCCTGGGCTTTGTGTATGCCAGGCAAGCACTCTACCACCGACCTATATCCCCAGCCCCAATGACCTCTTTTTATACATGTGGTAGCACATATATTTGGCTCTTAGAGCTTATAGGGTAGAATTTTTTTCCTTTGCAAATGAGGAACCTGGTGTTTGAAGAGATTAAGAACATCCCTCAAAGTCCCTTGACAAGTAAGCAATGGAATGGATGCTCGGAGCTGGGGCCTTCCTACAGCCTTCCGGCCCTGACTCTGCTTGGTTCTGCCTGTCCCCTTCCTTCAGGTCCTTTACCACTGTGACAATGATCACTGACCCACACTTGTCCCAGAATCTACTCAATGTGCCCCTGTGTACTGTGCCCTGATACTGTCCTTTGGTGTCCAGGGTGAGTGGGGCTTGCAGCACACTTAAAGGAAAAAGTGATGATGGCTTCCAGATGAGCTTATTATTCCAAATTTAACATTCCTTTCGGTACTTAGAATTTCCACTTTCTCCCTTCCACTGCTTTGCATTTATGTAATTATAAAGCATGCAACAGGAAACCATTTGTGTCCCAGGACCATTCAGGATGAAGCTGTCCCAGCCCCGTGAAGTACATCATTGTGGAAACACTTTGCAGCGTTTATTTGGACAGGTTCAAAAATAGTCTTTCCAACGATACAATCAGACTGAACCATGACAAGTAAAATGCAATTATGGCTTGGTTACATAAAAAAAAACCTGAACAGTGAGGTTTGGGAAAACTAAATAGCAAAACTACACAGTCATCTTCATTCCCAATCTCTGCATTTCTTATAGGCAGGATTTCAAGATTGTATTCTTAGATTTTTTTGAAACTGATGAGAGAGGATGACACTCACTAAAGGAGACAGCTCAGCAGAGTGTGTTTGAGGCCATTTCTCAGAACAAAGGAGCACTTCTGCATGAAGCAAATGTGCCTGATGAGGTCTCCCCACTGGCTACTTGGAATGCCAAAATTATTCACCTAAATGAGTTCAAAATACATACTGTTTGGGGCCAAATTATACAGCATCAAGCTCAGACTGTATGTATTTATATATGTTGGCAGAGTAGGCCACTTTTGGGGTGCCACAGCTTTATCCTAGTATCTTGTGTCCAGTTGGGTTCTGAGCACTCTCTCCCCAAACCCATGAATTTTCTTGTATTTGGTTCCAGAAGGGCAGACAAGAGGCAAAGTCAAAAAGTTTTACAACCCCAAGGGAACAGGGACCCCAGAGGACTTGAATTTCTCATAAAACTTAAAAATTGCCTTTGGCAACAAGCTAGAACTTTCTGAAGGTTGATGTGAGATGAAGGCAGAGTAGGGACAAGATCAAGAATTGTGCTTCCAGCCAGTCTTTGCTAAGAGCTACAAGGTGGGAATACAAAGTACTCTGGGACTAAATCAAATAGTCAATCCTTGCTTCTTTACCTGGCTTTTGCCCAAAACTGTTCCTTCACAGAGCTTGACCAGTTCCTCAAAGCAATTTAGTGTTGCTTCAAAGGTGCAGGGCAAAGGGATTCATTCAAACCGATCCCTTAAAACCTAGCAACTGACAAGATAGAGAAGTTTTATTCCAATGTTCCTGACTACCTTGTTGTTCTGATGCATTTAGAAAATTTGTGAGCACACTGTTTGTCTTTGTCTTTTTTGGACGAGGATTTGTTATTCTTATCTCTGCCTAAATGAAGATGGAAAAATTAGGGGGAGGGGAGAATACTAACTCTTAAAGCAAATGTGGGAAAGACAGGTGGAAATGAAGATAAAATGAATACTAACTTTTGTGTGTGTGTATGCTACTGGGGAATCAAACCCAGGGCCTTGCATATGCTAGGCAAGTGCTCTACCACTGAGCTACATGCCCAAATTCTGACTTTTAAAACAAATATAGAAAAAAAATAGAGAGAGAAGAGATGAACCGGGTCACATGGTTGTTTCTCTTTTAATTATATGGGTTGCTTTGATTATGGAATGAAGAGGGCCACATAAAGAACACTGAGTGGCTGTGGCATGCCATGGCCATGACTTTACAATACTGGGCTCAGCCCATCTTTCGCAGAGAGCCACTACTGCCTGTCCAGGTCCAGAGCCTAGCGGATCCTTCAGGAAAGGGGAGTGGGTGAAGAGTGAGGGAGGGAAAAGGGACAGGGTTCTTACTCTGAATGTACTCATCACAGCACAAGTTCTAATTTCTAATCGATGTATAAAACTGGGGTGAGGCACTAGATTCCCCAGAGTGGTTATCCAGCCAAGCCCTCCGCACCCCTCCCTTGCCTCTGCTCACTCTAGCTGCATGAATTACTTGTTTCCCAGCTATGATGTGTACTTCTGTGATTCTGAGCCTTCACAGAGCTACTTTCCTTCTCTTCCCCATTCCATCCTCTGCAAGTCCGTCCTGTGGACGCTTGGGTGCACCTTCTCCCTTGTTCTCACTGCACCTCGTCTCCACAGCCTGCCTCCCTGTTAAAACAATTTACTTTCAGAATCACAAGTGTCTGCATGTCTATCACTCTTAAGCTGCAGGAGCCAGTGTATTTTTATTCATTTATCTCTGCTACCTACAATAGTCCCTAGCACAGAAAATGCTCAATTAACATTTACAAGAAAAAAGGCAACGGGATCAAGCTCTGCCCATCTTTTTTTTGAGACAAGAGTCTCTGCTATATAGTTCAGGTTGGCAATCCTCCTGTATCAGCCTCCCAAGTCCTGGGTCTATAGGCCTGCACCACCACACCTGGCCCATCTTATTTTTATTATAAGGAGAAAAATAAGACATGAAAATCTGAGCTCTGGGGTTCTATACATTATGAGAAGAAATTGCTAATATACTCTTTTTGTGTCCCACCCACACAATTCAAGTGAAACTAAGAACAAACTCACAGAGATGTATTAGATATAGTCCCTTTGTCCTCAAACCTAGACCTAGCTGCTACATGAAAATAAAGGCAACCCCAACTGTAGCATACCAGCCAGGTAGGTGTGCCCCTAGCTCTCTCCACTGCCAGGAGAAAACCCCTGGGGCTGAAGCTTGGACTGCACCAAGCTCCATGATGCTATGCGGCTTGTAATCAATGTAGGGAGCCATCCAGTCAAGTTCAAGTCCCACTAATACAACAGCTGCTTGACCGCAGTGTGTAGCAGGCACAGCTGAGATGAGCCCTGCCAGGTCTGCTAGTGAGAACCAGCAACAGGCCTAAAGAGTTGCTCCAATGAGGAAAGCTCCACAAGACGTTAGTCATCTCCATCGGCAACCTTCATCTTCTGAGGGACAAACAGTTCTGGGAACTATGCTTGAGGGGGCAGTGGTGAAGAGTGCACACTGGCTGTGGCTGCAGAAGAGCACAGCAGCTGTGACCATGTGCTACAAATGGAGTCCTCCTGAAGCTCAGGCTAAAGGCAAAGAAATGAATGCCGTGCACTGGACTTCCTTTGTAAATTTATTTCTTTTAAGATCACCTCCTTACGATTTCCAGAGAAAAAATACAAAACAAGAAACAGACTTGGTTTCAAATACATAAACAGTGTGCTGGAGTTTAAAGCATTACTGATAACACTGCTACAGAAGAGTGTCCGCTTACTCCAGGGCACTTCAGTATTCCTGAGGAATAAACATGATTTCTCTTCCTCCAACTGGGTGTTCTCGGTGTAAGTCACTGCTCCTGCTCCTGTGAAGCAAGGACATTCAGGTCAGGGTGGTACAGAAACACTGGGACAACTCTAACCGCTGCTCTAAGTGACACCCAGGGGACCCACAGGACCCAAACCTCACCATGCCACTGCTTCACTGTCTCAGGCAGCCACACACTCCAGATTCACAGGAGTGCTTCCCCAGTCTCAGAGAAGATCAGAAAAGCAGTGAAGCAGGACAAGGTGATTAGTCCCTGGCAACCCCTACCCCTAAAATCCATCTAGGGCAGTGGTGGCAAACCATTATGGCACATGTGCTACAGCAGGCTGTTTGTATCACTGAGAGCTCTAAAAGCTTCACCATCACTGATCTAAGGGCTCATAGTTGAGTACAAACAGCTACGAACAAACTATGAACAAGCTATGAACAAACACTTGAAGCAAACAGCCTGCTGACAACATGATCTCTGGCAAGTTCAGTAAGATTCTGTTCTCTTCTCCAGTGAATGAGGATGATTATATCTCTCTCATAATCCACTGGGCAATGTTGAAAGAATATGAAGATAAAGCCCTCAGATGGCCCATGGGGCACAGCAGGCACCCAACAAGCAGTTATAACACGACTATGCTGAATAAGCCCCAAGATGGGATTTTGCTCCGCTTTTCAGAGAGTAGGGAATGACAACATTAGGGCACAGACTCAAGTTCAGATGAAGTTACAAGGCCATTCTGGAGTAATACACACAAGGCTGTAAAAAATAAAACAATATTTTCCAGAGTAACTCCCAGCTATTAAACATAATATGCATATAATCTCTCTGAGCCATTACTCATGACATTTCAGTTTGGAACAATGGAAACATTTTGAACAATGAAAGACCTGAAGGTCCCCACTTCTTTCTGTTCTCCAGACTTAGTGCTGCTGCCAGGACAGTGAAGAGACAGGGAAGGGGAACAGCCTGTCATCAGCTTGGTGCCATGCAGCCGGCACCTCCTCGTACACTGGCCCTCTGTTGACCTTACCCTTGCTTTGGCACAGAGCTGGTTCACTAATACCAATTTTCCCTCCCCCCACTCTCCAGCACACACGGGTTGGGTGGTGGAGAACTATTACTTGAGATTTTGTGACTCTGTGGCTATAGCTCTCAACCAAATTAGGACACGCATTTGTGCCACATTTTCTGCTCTACTTGTTATTATGGTGGAACAATGGAGAAATCAATCACCCTTTCTTGGTTGGCTTCAACTACAATAGCCAAAGTTTCTATTTATATATGGCATCTCATAGCTTAAAGAACATTTGTACAGGGCTGGGGAATTAGCTCAATGGTTCTGGTGCCTGCCTCCAAAGCACAAGGTTCCGAGTTCGATCCCCGGTACAAAAAAAAAAACACACAAACATTTGTACATTTAATCCTCACATCACCTTATGTGGGGCTAGGGGTACAGCTCAGTAGTAGAGCATGTGCTTAGCATGCACAAGGTCCTGGGCTCAATATCCAGCACCCCCACACTCCAAACAAATAAAACAAACAAAATCTCTATAGGGAGAAGTTGTTGCTCTTATATTGATGGATGGAAAATGGAAACCTGAAAGTGAAACAACTCCAGACCGCATAGGAAGCAGGTGGTGGGTCTCCTGGCACTGATGCTGCCCCATCACAGTGATGATGCTACCTCAAGGGATACCTGGAGAGTGGAGGATTCCATGCATGTGGTGCTGTGTAGTTCTTCACTGGAGGTTGGGCTACTGCAAAGGTTATGCCTTAGCAAGCCCAAAGCCTATACGGCTTACACCTAATGGAGTCCACAACCTACTTCACTCACTTCTGTTACATTTACTTCAGTGCTTATTTTGTTTCAGACCCTCAGGATACAAAAATAAATACCGCCTCTGTTCCTAAGCATACAGTCTCCCTCTTCTGTCCCTTAAGCCCCACAGTAACCAATTATGTAAAGAATGGCAAAAGGAAAGGCTGCTACACATTGAAATTTTAAGAAGCATGCTACACTTGTTTCTTTTCCAGCTTGCTGGTATCATTAAAAATCCACCTATAGATGAGGACTTTGGCAGAATCATGTAAGACAGTCAAGTCTGCCTTCTTCAATAAACAAAGCAGAATAATGGCAGAGTCCCAGAAGTCTTTAGGTTTGGCTCGTATGTGTGAGATGCTTACAGACTCAGATCTTAAGCAAAACGTGCTACTTACAGATAGTTAATACTTTGACCACTGGTAGTAACTTCAGTTCCAGTCAGCTAACATGTAAATACACATCTGAACACAATGTGCACCTGGAAGGCTCAGGGGAGACTGTTTTAGCAACAAAACAGTGTCACCATCATTACAGGCCAACGAGAAATTGGGATCTCAGCAGTATCACAATGACAGAATTTATTCCTCATATACACTCTAAAGAACTCTTCAGGGCCTCAGGAAAAACTGCTTTTTCTTTTACAAGAAAGAGAAATATCGATTCTGTACATACTTTGACATATTTTCCATGCAGAAGATATGGAGCCTGGAAATCATGCTGACAGTTGGAGTAGGCCATCCCCAATCCCATGCCAGAACCAAAGGCTAAGGGCCACATTCTTCCTATTGAGTAGAAAAAGGAAAATTCCAATAGGGAACCATTAGAGGAAGGTAAAGCCTCCCAACCCTTACATACATTTGCTTAGGGTTCAATAAACATTCAGCAGACATCTATCAATGACCATAAAATACCATATACCGCTGACAATGTTTCGTCAATGTCTTCCCCCAAAAGACGGGGTTATCAGTAAACTAATTAATTTAACAAATATTTACTAAGTACCTATACTGCTAGGTTTGAGACATTCCTCCAGCTATGAAAACAGTAGACACATTTTTTTCTATCAGTTCTAATCATCTGCTTGTTTCTTTCTTTCTTTTTTTTTTTTGGAGACAGGGTCTTACTATGTAGTTCAGGCTGGCCTTGAACTCACTATGTAGACCATGCTGGCCTTAAACTCATGGCAATCCTCCTGCCTCAGCTTCCCAAGTGCTGGGATTACAGGCATGCACCACCAAACCCAGCTAGTTTAATTTCTTAACCTTATAACAAGTAACAATCCTTTCAGTATGGTGCTTGGTTATAAAACCAGGTAAGAATTTCACTAATATTTACATACTTCAGTTGTCGTAAATTATAGGATTTTCATGTAAACCAATCTATAAGTGATTATTTTATATCAGCTGTGTGTGTTAATTATGATTCTCTAGTTATGTAGCAACTGCTAGTCCTTCATGGAAGAGGGTGAAAGTGAGCCCTTTGGCTTCTACTCAATATCCAAACTTCAGATGTTCTTCCACAAAATGAAAGGGACACTTACTGCTTGCCCTTTGCTTAGAATTTTTGACCAAGAGAATGTGCATTTCTGGTCCATTTGTTTTTATTACCAGCAAGACTCTCATTTTCAAGTTCCTTTAGAAAAAAATTAATTAGAAATATCTGAGCATGAAGATTTAGCCAAATGATTCACTGGCACGAAGCACAGGCTTTTCAAGTGATATCATATTTAAGATATCAGGCACCCTGACTCAATGCCCGGGGGAATGCTGGAGATGTCCAGCCCATTCTGTCCACGATGGAGTCCATGCTCTTTGCCTATCCCCTTGAGTGGGTGGGTTGACAGCCATAGGACGCACCTTCCTTGACGGCCTCCACCATGCATCATGTACACTGTATTGAAAAATTAGTAAGAGGGCCGGGGATTTAGCTCAGTGGTTTCGCCGCCTGCTGCGCAAGTGCAAGGACCTGAGTTCGATCCCCGGTGCCAAAAAAAAGAAAAATTAGTAACAGTCACACTTACGTTTAAAGAAGGTAAGAGAGAAAACAACTCCTAATCCAAAACCAGTACCTACATAAAGAGAGAACAAAATATGTTAAACTGCATAATAGTGACCTGACAAAGATAACATTAACATTTTCTAAACGTGAACACTATAAAACAGATTATTTTTTTCATAATTTGGAAGAGAGTTGATTTTCTCATTTTTAACCAAGAAATGTCCGAGGCTTTACAGATGCGTTTGATCTCCCTGCCCACAATAGGAAATAAAAACTTTATCCCCAACATTCTGTCTAGACAAGCTGCAGGGCTCGAGGGTGTGAGGCTGGGAACAAGCCGAGAGACTGTTCGACCCTCGGTACTCCATGCACACAGCCTCCTACCTATTTCACAGGGGGGTCACCACCAAAATGCCACATACACCATGCTGACAGGATGCTGCTGCCCTTGTCACTTCGGCATTTTGAGTAATGTCTACCTTTTTTTTGGTACTGGGGATCGAACTCGGGACCTTGCGCTTGCAAGGCAGGCAGCAGAACCACTGAGCTAAATCCCCGGCCCAATGTCTACCATTTTTGAGGAAGATGCAAAGGCACAATCCAGAAAAGTTCCCAAAGTTGTACTAGTGTACAAGTCACAGTGCCCCAACAGGGAAAGCCCATCCCTCAAGACCACCAGTGGAAATTAATCCTCTCATTTACTTATAGTATTCTTAACCGCTATCTTTTAAAATAAAGGAGGGGCTAGGGATTTAGCTCAGTGGTTCCACCACCTGCCTCACAAGCGCAAGGTCCTGAGTTCAATTTCCGGTACCAAAATATAAAAAATAAAATAAAATAAAGGAGAGCTGGGTGTGGTGGCATATGTCTATAACCTCAGCACTGGGGAGGCTGTGGCAGGAGGATCACCATGAGTTTGAGGCCAGCCTGAACTGCATAGTGAGACGCTGTCTCAAAATGCAGAACAAATAAATAAATAAGAAATGGGAGTCTGTTTTAGTGGTTTGAGGGGGTAGGGATTCTGGAGATCCATCCCCAGGGCCTCATGTATGCTAGGTTAAGTGCTCCATCACTGAGTTACATCCCCAGCCCCATTAATACTGCTTTTTAAATCAGATTTCACAGGAATCTAAACTTGGGAAAAAGTTAAACAAAACTAAAATCCTCATTTTTACCTGTATTTGTCAAGCTTTGGCCATGATGATGCCAACTTCACAATTTCACATATCACTTGCACTATTATTTTCTTACTCATTATCTTAAAAAGAAAAAATTCAATGCATGTGCTTAATAAATCTAGCCTCAATACTGTAATGGTAATAGATTTGAGTTCTAACTATTTTTTTTCACAAAATATATTAAAAAATTTTTTTTAATTACATCATATACTATATACTGATATATGTCCCATTCTCAATAAAACAAGTAATACAGGTCAAAGAGGAGAGTCAAAATCTGACTATTTTGATTTTTCAGACTAGCAGGCAATTGTTTTCAGTTTTGTGTTTTCTGATGCTCTTTACTAAGTACTCCATGGTCCAATAGAGCCTCATGAACCTCTTCACAATAAAGCACCACATCAAAGTCCCAATTTTCACTTGTCTTATAGTTTTTAAATTTGTGCTGCTGAAATTCCAAGAATTTCTCCTCTATGATTTCAGGGAAGTACAGTATAAATACTCAAAGTACTTCCTCAGTTAGCCAGGCTAGTCTTTCTGCTCCAAACACAGACAACTTCACCACGAGTGAGCAAGCTAATCTATATCTTTTTTTACTTTTTTTTTTTTTTTGGTACTGGGGATGGAACTCAGGACCTTGCACTTGCAAGGCAGGCACAGTGCCACTGAGCTAAATCCCCAGGCCCTTAATCTATATCTTTTTTTGATCCCAGTAATTCTTTTTGCACCTCTATACACAATCCAACTGAAGAAAACATTCATGCTATTTACACAGAAATATTTCTGCTATTCTCTCTTACCATATATACATAGTCATAATTGTTTCTTTCTGTACCTGTATACTTTTGTGACACACAACATTTTTGTCAAATACAGACCACTTATACAATGGTGGCACCAGAAGATTACAATGGACTAAAACAGGAACAGACACCTGCAGAGGCAGGAGAGAAGAAAACTTCAGGAGACAAAGGATACCCAAGAAAATCCACAGTGAAGAGCCTGGCAGAAGCTTTTGCAGACCTCAACAAGTCCCTTAACAAGTTTGAAAAAATGGACCTTAACACCAAAAGGTTTTCATTATTAACAGAGATGAATGTTCATGGTGCATTATCTGCTTACAAGCAAATCTACAGCGAGGAGAACAAAAACCCAAAACCCCAAAACCAAAACCAAATCAAACCTAAGCAAGCAAACCCCCACAGACACGTTTCTGAAAAGAGTGACCCAGGCTTAAAAGCCTTAGCAGGTCCTGCAGGAGGAGCCCACAAGAAGGCCTTGTCATCACAAGAGCGCACAGCACCATGCTTTACTGCACCTGAGGACCTTCCAGTGGGGCAAGAAGTGGAGGTGAGGGGCCGGGGATTTAGCTCAGTGGTTTCGCTGCCTGCTGTACAAGCACAAGGACCAGAGTTCGATCCCTGGTACCAAAAAAAAAAAAAGTGGAGGCGAAGACAGTGAACTGATGATGCTGACCCTGTGTAGGTCCAAGGCTAATGTGCATGTGTGTGTCCTAGCTTTAAACAAAAAGTTTTAAAAGGTAAAAAAAAAAATGTTTAAATAGAAAAAGCTTATAGAATAAAGATACAAAGCAAATACTTTTGTACAGCTATACAATAGGTATTTTACACTAAGTGTAATTACAAGAGTCAAAAAGTTAAAATAAGCTAAGGTTATTATCGAGGAAAAAAAATAATATTTGGGGGGGGGGGTACCAGGGATCGAACTCAGGTCCCTGTGCTTTCGAGATAGGCGGAGTAACCACTGAGCTAAATCCCCGGTCCAAGAAAATAATTTTTAAAGTAAATTTACAGCAGCACAGTACATATGAAACCCACAGTGCTGTACTGCAGTGCCCACCCCCTCACTCTCTCTCTACCCACTCTCTGGCTCATCCAGAGAACTTCCAGGCCTACTGGCTCCCTTCCTGAGAAGTGCCCTGTATTGGTGTACCACTTTCTACCTTTTATACAGTATTTTTACCGTACTTTTTCTGTGTTTGGATATACAAATACTTGCCATTGCATTACAGATTGCCTACAGTACCTAGCACAGTGATACCTGTACAGTTTGCACCCAGAGGTGACGGGCTATATCACACAGCCTAGTGTGTGGCAGGCTGTACCATCTACATTGGTGCGAGTACACTCTGTGATGTTCATACAATGACGAAATCACCTGATGATGCATTTCTCACAACATATGCTCATACTTATGTAACACATGACTACATATATATGTATATATGACTGCACCCTATACAAATATGAATTTTAATGAAACACCATTACTTTGCCTTATCCATGTGTTAAGTCTGTTTTGGTGCCCAACTTGAAAAGGCACTATCACACGTCTGTTTTGGTGCCCAACTTGAAAATGCACTATCACTTATGTCATCCCACTTTCCATTTCCATAATGGAAACAAAAAGGAACTAACATTTGAGTATCACCTATGAGTACCCAATATCCTTCCCCCAACAAAAAAATTTGTTTAAATCAAATAAGCTGATATGGTATTATCCCTTCTCCCAGATACAGAAAACCATGCCCAAGGTTAATTTGTTCATTAGTTGTAAAGCAGTTAAGTGGGTTCAAGTCAGCCAGACTACAATGCTACTGTACCCATTATGTGCAGACACTGTATCCCCTCACCAGTTTTAACCCCAATCACCACCTTCCAAGGGAAACTGGAATGTTCAGATTTCTGTTGCCAGTATAGTCAGATATGGTCAAAACACAAACTGTACTCTACATGCAACAGACGGAACGTTAGGCAACCCTGGAAGTAACAAGTCTACACAAAGCCAAACGGGCTTGTTCAGATTCATTCTCAGATTAATCCTACTGAGCATATCACAGATACAAGTCTACCTGGTAGGTGTGGCTCAAGAACTTCAGAGAAATGGGAGCCACTGATACTGATCCTCTGTGGCCAAGAATCTGCCATTGCTTGGTTTATAAAATGGCAGAGGGTTCAATTTCAAGGGGACTTGCCTCACCCCATGCAGCTGGAAGATGAGTAAGACAGTAAATTGGTACTAGAAAATGAGGTAAAGGATTTGGACTGGCTTACAGATTCCAAACCAGGCAATGGGATGAAGAGGCAGGCCAGTAAAAACATAATGGCTTACAATCAGAGCTTTTGCTCTTCTCCATCTGGAGGCAATTTTTTGGCAAAGAAATCAAAAGCCCAAAAGGAAAATATTTCAGCATTTTTCTGATCCTTCTGACTCCATGCCTGTCTCTTCTATTTTCCCCCAAGGAAATAAAGCTCTCCGATGCTCAACTTTTCCTAGTAGGAGACCAACAGCGGTGATGCTAAGTCCACTGCTACCAGTATCGCTCAATCAAAAATATGAGAAACACTTTAGCATCAATAGAAGCACAAATCTTTCATCTTTAGAATTCAGATGTATGTCCAACCACCCAGTTTTGCTCCTACTAAAGGCATTTATCTGCAAATACAAATCTGAGCCCAAAATCACAATTCAGATCACCCAAAAAGATATAAAAGAATGTGCTCTGTGGTCTTAGTTAAAAGCGGAGGCTTTTTCTTTTTTTTGGTATGGGGATCAAACTTGGGACCTTGTGCTTGCGAGGCAGGCAGCGGAACCACTGAGCTAAATCCCCGGCCCCCGGGCTCAATTCTTAAGAGTGATTTTTCAGCATACAATCAAATATCCCTCTCCATTTTTATATTTTTAAGACACAAGCTAAGACTATTCTCTTAGAAAAAAGTAATTCATAGAATGATTAATTGTGAGGTTTTACTTAAAGCTAGCTATCTCAGTTTCTTAAGAGATAAACAATAGTGGAATGCTGATGAGTTTTACAGATTCCAGTTCTTACATGCTCATTTCTCTTTTAAAAGGCAACATGTTGCTTCAAAGA